GAATCACCACTGATTCTCCTGCAGATGCGTGCTATCAAGTGGATTGCGGGACAAGTGCTTCCTGCTCTGTTACAGCCGCTGGCACTCCCAAGTGCTTGTGCAATGCAACTGGCCACACCTTCAATGAAACAGACAAGACTTGCAATGGTGAGTGGAAGGGTGGTAGTGCTAGAGTGTGGGTTAACCAAATTCTTCCCTAGACCCTAAACCCCAAACCCTACACCATAAACGCTTCTTTTCCTCGAATCACCACTGATTCTCCTACAGATGCGTGCTATCAAGTGGATTGCGGGACAAGTGCTTCCTGCTCTGTTACAGCCGCTGGCACTCCCAAGTGCTTGTGCAATGCAACTGGCCACACCTTCAATGAAACAGACAAGACTTGCAATGGTGAGTGGAAGGGTGGTAGTGCTAGAGTGTGGGTTAACCAAATTCTTCCCTAGACCCTAAACCCTAAACCCTACACCATAAACGCTTCTTTTCCTCGAATCACCACTGATTCTCCTGCAGATGCGTGTTATCAAGTGGATTGCGGGGCAAGTGCTTCCTGCTCTGTGGGAGGCAATGGCACTGCCGCGTGCTCGTGCAACGTTGAAGGTTACATCTACAATGCAGCGAACAAGGCATGCAGTGGTGAGTGCTGGAGTGTGTGTGGGTGTGCCGAGACGAAACCTCTTGGGCCGCCTGTCGATGGAGTGTTGTCCTTCGTTATAATACCTTCAGAACTTGTTTGTTCATTCTGACAAGTCACCAGTATGGAAGAGACTGGGTAAAAGAAGGTGAGAAACAAGCCTCTTCTTTGTCTCCCTAAGCCTCCCTTATGGTCCCCCTTACCCCTTCCCTTTTTTTGCCTGGGGTGTTTGTCCCTCTGTGGTAACCACAACAGCCCCGTCTGTGGTCCCCACAACAGCCCCATGCCCCAAGGATTGTGGAACAGCCATGTGCGTTGTGGAGGAGGGCAAGGCCCAGTGCAAGTGCCCCTTGGGCCTCGTGTTCAACGAGGCTGAGAAGACCTGCAGCAATAAGACTGTCAACCCTGGTAGGCCTAGGTTTGATACGTCTCAAAATTAGAACTGTGGAACCTCTGATGTGGAGGAGGGCAAGGCCCAATGCAAGTGCCCCTGGGGCTTCATGTTCAACGAGGCTGAGAAGACCTGCAGCAATGCGTATTATACTGCTGGTGCGTGTCCTTGTCTCTTGCCGCTGCTAGGCATCTTTGTCTGTTGCTGCTGGTGAGTGTCTTCGCCTCTTGCTGCTAGCATTCAGGCTCACGCCAACTCCTTCCCTCCTCCACCCCTGGCAGCGGCAGACCCGTGTAAGACGGGCGCACTGAAGTGCGCCAGGAACTCAATGTGCATTGTGAAGGGCGGCCAGGGGAGTTGTGAGTGTGACGCCGGCTACACCAAGAGGAGCGGCCTCTGCACTGGTGAGCTGACCTAGAGCTCACTTTCAAAAGCTTGTGACCAAGGGATTTTGTTTCAAAGGCCGATGGCCAAGGGGCTCTGTTTCAAAGGCCGGTAGTCAGGAGCTCAAGAGGTGAAGAGGCAGCGGATACTTCAGAGACAGTGCTGAATGTGATTCAATCTTGAGTACTTGGGGGTTCTGTTGAACCCTCTTGCCACTCACTCACTCTCCTCCCCCCGCTCGCCCTCATTTTCTCCACTGCTACCCCACTCGGCCTCCTGCTCTTCTCCCGCTCCCTTACCCCCAACCTCCCACCCACGCCCCCAACCTCTCGTCCACTCGCCCAACCTCCCACCCACTCCAGCGGTGTGCAAGCGGGCCTGCCCTGTGAATGCCCAGTGCACGGTGGCGAGGGGAAAGCCGGTGTGTCGGTGCAAGACACGTTTCAAAATGGAGAACAAAAAGTGCACACGTAAGTGAGAGGGAGAAATTTCTTTCTGTGCAAACCAGTTTTACCTGTCTCAACATCTCCACCTCCCACATGCACCCATGAAGTACCCGCATGACACATCCGTGCCATCCACTCTCACTGTATGCCCTCCAGCTGCTTCCCGCTCATTCTCCAAACTCTTCCTTCTCTTCCACCCTTCCACCCACCACATGTAACAGCTGTATGCAATTCCGCCTGCCCTGCTAATGCGGAGTGCAAGGTGGTGAAAGGGAATCCGGCATGTCAGTGCAACGCAGGGTTCCGAATGGAGAAGAACAACAAGTGCACACGTAAGAGACCTTAAGAAGCATGGACCTCCACCCCTCACGGCCCCCGCTTTCAAGCTAGCCCCTATTGATGCCTGCCTGCCTGCCTGCCCGCCCGCCCGCCCGCCCGCCCGCCCGCCCGCCGGCCCGCCCGCCCGCCCGCCCGCCTGCCTGCCTGCCTGCCATATTTATGTTATCTATAGTTGCTGTGTGCCCTCATCTCCATCTTGCTCATTGATTTACATTCTACTTTGTCCCCATCACATGTGGCAGCCGTATGCAAGAATGGCTGCCCTGCCAATGCGCAGTGCCAGGTGGTGAACGGAAGGGCGGCATGCCGGTTGAAGGCAGGGTTCCAAATGGATTATTACAACAAGTTCACCTGTAAGGGACAGAGGGTGCAAAGGGAGAGGTAGAGGACGAGGGTGAATTATGTGGCATCTTTCGTGCTCTTCCTTTCATATTTTTCTCCGCTGGCTGCTCTAATTATTGGCATGCCACCACTATCACCACACATTCTTATCACCACACCACACCTTCTTATCACCACAAATTCTTATCGCCACACATTCTCATCGCCACACGTTCTTATCGCCACACATTCTTATCGCCACACATTCTGATCACCACAAATTCTTATCGCCACACATTCTCATCTCCTTGAGTCATATGCCTCCGCCATCCACATGTTGCTCCCATAGCTGGTCATCCTGGTTCATCTTCCGTTTCATGTCACTTCCTACATTCTGGCCTGCCCTCATGTTCGCCCACTCATTGCAACCCAGAGAGTTGATAATTTTCACTTCAAAGGGGTTGGTGAACAAGAAAGGTACAAGTTGGCAGTGCAAGTGGGACGTCAGGTCGCCAGGGGCTGATGGAGCAGAGGTGCGAGCAAGTGCATGCGGTTGCTGGAGGCCAGGAACCAACCAATTTGGGTGACAATTGGTTAAGTCATTCAGTACAGTGCATGCACTAAGGATGCGATTACACGCTTGATTGGCTTGTTGTACCATAGCGTTTGACTTTAGTTCTTTAGGACGGATTTCTAACTGCTCTTGGATCAGAACTTCATGTGCTACTTGGATTTCTATGCTTTTTGTTTGTGTGCCCTTTTCCCTCAAAACTTTTAACTTGCGTTTGAAGCATTTTGGTACCGTATGAAAAATGACTAGCAGACAAACAAAAAAAGAAAGAGCAACGAAAACAAAGCTAGCAAGGGGAGCGCGCTAGCAATGTGAACATTTATGTGTGTAGATGGTGTTGTTGGTACTCTGAGATGGATGGAGCCCGGTTATTTTAGAGAAGTTTGAAATGTTGGTATTGTGACTGAGTTTTCTAACTAAGCACAGAGCAGCCAAGGCAATGTGGTGGAAAGGGAGAGGAAGGGGGTTGTGGTGGGAACTGTCTGACAATTTTCTGCACCCTGATTTCAAGGGTGTTGTAAGGTACCGGGGTAGGTTTTTTTCCGGGGCAAAACATATATACCCTCTCGGGAAAGGCATGTAAACATGGGATGCATAAACACAATGTGGCAAGGTATTTAGGGTTGATGCGTCCCCTGTTTGCATGCCTTTCCCTAGAGGGTTTACCGTATTATTTTTCGCCCCTTCCAAACTGTTTTGAGAAAACAAAATGACCGTGGGAATTGAGCGCGATCGCAAAGCGATGCGCGGACAAAACCACTGCCCATTGGAATCGAAAATTTGGAAACGCGTCGCCTCGTCATTTCCTCCGGAAAAACGCACGACTGCATCGCTTTGCCAGTTGCACCAGACCAGCCCCCAAACTCACGCTTCCCCATACAAGCACTTTCCGCTGCACACTTTTGGAGGCGCTTTTGTAAGGATGGTCACAATTTCTTCCTACCGACCGACCGTACCGTAGTTATGATGTTTGGTCACTACCTCAGGCGGTCAGAAGAGCGCAAATACATCGCATTTCCCCACAATGAATTGAGATGGCAGCTTCATATTCATTGCTGAGGTGGCAGTCTGAGATCCCAGGTCTCGATGATCTCATCCACATCAAATTGATTCACCACCTGCCATTGCCATGCAAGCATTTCAACAAGAAAGGGAATGCAAATCATTTGAGAAATATATCCCAAATCTCAGCAACTGGAAAAATACACACATTGCACGGAAACATGGAGCGCGGAATTGACAACACAGGTAAGAAGCGTGACAGAAAATTGACCGAGGGGAGATGGAGGGAGGTTCTCAGGCAATGAAAGGAAGGGATACATTATTGCACAGATGAAGCGAAAGAGTAGGCATGAGAGGAAGAGACGTTACCGGGACAAGAGGGTCACCGAGCGAAAGAACTGCTTGTTCGAGAAGCGACTTGGGCTTGTACTGCTTGTGGTAGGGAGGGGAGGAGGGGCAGAAGTGGGGAGGACGACGGGCAGAAGTGGGGAGAACGAGGGGCATGGGTGGGGAGCGGCAAGTGGTTTAGGCTTGTGTTTTTCGTGAAAGAAAGGAGGAGAGGCACGAGAGGGTCCCCCAGTGAAAGGAGTGCTTGCTCGAGAAGCAATTTGGGCTTGTACTGATTGTGGAAGGGAGAGGAATAAGAGGGCTGTGGGAAGAGAGTGCCAAGTGGCTCAGGATATTATCGCTCACTAAAGGAGGGAGGAGAAGTAAGAAAGAAAAGATGGATAGGCAGGCAAAAGGAGTTGGAAGGCAAAAAAGGAAGTGGGCAAGCAAACGAACGACCAGTCCTACTCTCTACATGTTCTGCAGACCTTCACGAAGAGTTGTATGATATATATATACATATATATATATATATATATCTTTATATTTATATGTAACAATGATTGTTTGTATGAATTGTGGTTTTTGTTACTGTCGTACATTGAGTTTCTCCCTGTAGAAGTACTCATCCACGTCAGCCTGCACCCCCATTCGCTCAAAGAAGGCTCGGATGATGGAGGAGGAGTAGCGCTGGAGGGGGGAGGAGAGGAAAAGGGAGGGGAGGAGTCAAAGGAAGAGGGGGGGTTGGAAGAATGAGTCAGACTGGGAAGGGAGTTTTGCCCGTACATCATCCTGCATCCCCATTCGCTCAAAGAAGGCTCGGATGATGGAGGAGGAGCGGCGCTGGGGGGGAGGAGAGAGGGAAGGGAAGAACGATTTGGTACAAGGGATTCGAATTGGAATGGATGGAAGCTGCAGATGCCATACTTCAAATGACAGATGGGAAATAGTTCTGGTAGGGGCGGAATTACAAGAAGGGTCTTGAAAAAATTCCCCAGTCACACCACCCCACGCACCTGACATAGTCACACCACCCCACGCACGTGATATAGTCACACCACCCCATGACTCACCTGAGCATAGTTACTCTCTGCAAGCAACAGCACTGCTCCATCCAGATTGGCCGGTCCCTGAGAGTGAGTGAGGGAGCGAGTGTCGGAATGAGTGAGAAAGTGAGTGAGGGCGAATCTAGTGATAGTGAAAAGAAGGAGAGGAAGGGAGCATGATCGAGGGGAAAAATACTCATCGTATTCCCTCCCTCAAATTTCACTGTTAACTCCTTCAATGAAAATAACTTTTTTTTTTTACAAGAGACAGGCCACAAGGGGACAGACACAAGGAACAAGACGCAACCGCGGTGCTTATCTACTCCTCCTACCCCAACCTCTTTTGAGGCGACTCAAATGTCAAGGGGACAGACACAAGGAACAAGACGCAACCGCGGTGCTTATCTACTCGTTCCCTCAACCTCTCCTGCCCCTTCTCTCCTGCTTCGCCTGCTGCTTCCCCCCACCTTTGCTGCCCCATATTTTCTGAACCCGGGAAACTACCCTAGTTAATATTTCAGCCAGAAGGAGGAGCGATAAGTGAGTGCGCAACTCACCTGGACATCAGTGGGGTGATAAGCGACTGTACAGCTCAGCTCACCTGCACCTGGGGGGAGCGATAAGCGAGTGCACAGCTCACCTGCACCTTCACTTGCATGCTGCCTCGGCGATCCTTATCCCACTCTGCCCCACCACCGCCTGCTGCTGCCACCCAGTCCACAGTGTAGGCCTGTGTGGCAGACAGTGAATGCGAAGCAGAGATGGGATGAGGACAGCAAAAGCATAGAGAGAGTGGTGCGAGTCACATGACTCACACACCACCGCCTGCTGCTGCCACCCACTCGACAGTGTAGGAAGGAAAGGAACCCCACATCCAGCAGGCAGTGAAGAACCTCTTCCACCCCAGCCAGCATTTCTGAGGCGCCTCAAAAGTCGCCTCAAAAGGCGCCTCAAAACTCGACAGTGTAGGAAGGAAAGGAACCCCACATCCAGCAGGCAGTGAAGAACCTCTTCCACCCCAGCCAGCAGCCCTGCCTGCCGCCTGCACCTATTTTCTGCACATATCCTCCCCCCACCCCGCTCACCATCAACCCTAACCCCTGACCCCCCAACCCCTGACCCCCCAACCCCTGACCCCCCAACCCCTGACCCCTTTCACCCACCCACCCGCAGGAAGCCCACATCCAGCAGACGTTGCAGAATCTCCTCCAACCCAGCCACCAGCCACCAGCCACGAGCCACGAGCCACGAGCCACCAGCCACGTGCAACGAGCCACGAGCCCAGCACCACCTACCACCCACCAGATGCCACAGCCCTCTCACCCACCCACCTGCACTGCAGGAAGCCCACGTCCAGCAGTCGCTGCAGGATCTCCTCCAACCCAGCCACCAGCCCTCCCCACTCATTGTCTCCTCTCATGACCCTACAGCACTCACCTCCCACCATCAATCCCCCAACCCCTGACCCCTTCCACCCACCCACCTGCAGAAACCCCACACCCAGCAGGCGTTGCAAGATCTCCTCCACCCCAGCCACCAGCCCTCCCTGCTGGCCGCACCTCTCCTTCCCACCCGTTCCTCTGTTCACACGGGCCCGAAACGACCACCTGCAACCAACAACGCCAGACATCTGGCTGTGTTTCAACCATCCACCCACCTGCAGGAACCCCACGTCCAGCAGGCGTTGCAAAATCTCCTCCACCCCAGCCACCAGCCCTGCTGGCCGCACCTCCCCCCCTCCGGCTGCTGCTGGTGGTGGTGGTGGTGGGAGGGATTGCTTTGACAGCAGCGACGGCGGGTCCAGCCAATCCTGGTCGTCCACCTGTTCGGCTGATGATGATGCTGGCGGTGCTGACGTGGCGATGCGGGCGAATGGTAGGGAGGTGGCGGGGGAGAGGGGGGAGAACGTGGAGGAGGATGGCGAGGGGGAAGCGGAGGAGGAAGAGGAGGAGGAGAGGGAGGATGGGGGGAGTGCAAGAGCGATAGTGACTGCTTCTGGTGCCACTCGGTCTAGAAGCTTCCTCCCCAGGCGGGCACTGATCTCCTGCGAGGGAAACCCAGGGTAAAGGGGGTGAAGAAGAGGCCAAAGAAATCAGGGAGGGCAGAAACAGGGGAAGTGCTTCTGGTGCCACTCGATCGAGCAGCTTCCTCCCGAGGCGGGTGCTGATCTCCTGCGAGAGACGTAGGGGGGACAGGGGGGCAGGGGGCAGGAGGTTTACGAGAGATGGGATGGCTGAAACCGGGAACTGCTTCTGGCGCCACTCGGTCCAGCAGCTTTCTCCCCAGGCGGGAACTGATCGCCTGCGAGAGACAAATGGGGGGCGAGGGGGGAGAGGAGCCTTAAGAAAGCAGGGAGGGCGGCGATTATGGCCGATGGGTATTGACGGCTGGAGACAGGGAAGTGCTTCTGGTGCCACTCCATCCAGCAGCTCACTCCCCAGGCAAGTGCTGATCTCCTGCAAGATTTACAAGGGGGGGCGGGGGGACGAAGAGGCTTAAGAAAGAAAACGGTCTAGAAGCTTCCTCCCCAGACGGGCACTGATCTACTGCGAGAGACATAGGGGGGAAGGAGAGGAAGAAAAGGTGTAAGAAAGAAGGGATGGAGCAAACAGGGGACGTGCTTCTGGTGCCACTCGGTCCAGCAGTTTCCTTCCCAAGCGGGCGCTGATCTCCTGAGAGAGACGTAGGGGGGAAGTGGTAGGAAAAGGCGTAAGTAAGTGCCAATTTTCAGAAATGGCGCGAGGCGTACACAGAAACAGAAGCAAGTGCTTCTTGTGCCAATCGCTTGATCCATCCAGCGGCTGACATGACATCCGTGGATGGACCACGGATCTTATGTTAATGTGCTTGAAAACGAGAGATGAAGAGAGTGTGAGGCGACTTTCGTGTCTACTCAAAAGTCACGTTGTTACAATGGCACGTGGGCCACTCACCTGCCTGACTCGCTGTGTGGGGAACAGGCGGGCGATCAGCTTCCACTGGAGAGGAAGAGATGAATTTGGGGGGGGAGGACGTGAGGGGAGGGGGGAAGAAGGGAGGGGAGGGGGGAAGTAGGGAAGAGAGGGGGGAGCAAGAGAGAGTAAGCGTGGGGAACAGGCTGGCAATGAGCTCCCACTGGCGGGGCAGAGACGAATGGGGGGGAACAGAGGGAAGGGGGAGGGACGACAAGGAGAGAGTAAGGGTGGAGGTAGTGGGGAGAGGGGAGGTGGGCGGGGGAAAGACAGGGAGACGAGGCGAGGCGAGGGGGAACGAGTGAGTGAGAGAAGGGAAAACAGGCACGTGATGTGGGGCAGCAGCATGGGCAGGGAGAGACTGCTGCTGCAGTGCCTTTTGAGTCGACTCAAAAAGTGACGTGGGGCAGCAGCACCGGCAGGGTGAGAGGGACTGTTACAGCAGCGTGCGGATGAGTGAGTTTTGTTGAGACGTCTCAAAAACTCGCTCATTTCAAGCAGTTGGGGCAGGGTGAGAGGGACTGTTGCAGCAGCGTGCGGATGTGTCAAGAACACAGCACACCATGCTCACCTGGGCTGGTTGTGCCACCAGCACAGCACCCCATGCTCACCTGGGCTGGTTGTGCCACCAGCACAGCACCCCATGCTCACCTGGGCTGGTTGTGCCACCAGCACAGCACCCCATGCTCACCTGGGCTGGTTGTGCCACCAGCACAGCACCCCATGCTCACCTGGGCTGGTTGTGCCACCAGCACAGCACACCATGCTCACCTGGGCTGGTTGTGCCACCAGCACAGCACCCCATGCTCACCTGGGCTGGTTGTGCCACCAGCACAGCACCCCATGCTCACCTGGGCTGGTTGTGCCACCAGCACAGCACACCATGCTCACCTGGGCTGGTTGTGCCACCAGCACAGCACACCATGCTCACCTGGGCTGGTTGTGCCACCAGCACAGCACACCATGCTCACCTGGGCTGGTTGTGCCACCAGCACAGCACACCATGCTCACCTGGGCTGGTTGTGCCACCAGCACAGCACACCATGCTCACCTGGGCTGGTTGTGCCACCAGCACAGCACCCCATGCTCACCTGGGCTGGTTGTGCCACCAGCACAGCACCCCATGCTCACCTGGGCTGGTTGTGCCACCAGCACAGCACCCCATGCTCACCTGGGCTGGTTGTGCCACCAGCACAGCACACCATGCTCACCTGGGCTGGTTGTGCCACCAGCACAGCACACCATGCTCACCTGGGCTGGTTGTGCCACCAGCACAGCACACCATGCTCACCTGGGCTGGTTGTGCCACCAGCACAGCACACCATGCTCACCTGGGCTGGTTGTGCCACCAGCACAGCACACCATGCTCACCTGGGCTGGTTGTGCCACCAGCACAGCACACCATGCTCACCTGGGCTGGTTGTGCCACCAGCACAGCACCCCATGCTCACCTGGGCTGGTTGTGCCACCAGCACAGCACACCATGCTCACCTGGGCTGGTTGTGCCACCAGCACAGCACACCATGCTCACCTGGGCTGGTTGTGCCACCAGCACAGCACACCATGCTCACCTGGGCTGGTTGTGCCACCAGCACAGCACACCATGCTCACCTGGGCTGGTTGTGCCACCAGCACAGCACACCATGCTCACCTGGGCTGGTTGTGCCACCAGCACAGCACACCATGCTCACCTGGGCTGGTTGTGCCACCAGCACAGCACACCATGCTCACCTGGGCTGGTTGTGCCACCAGCACAGCACACCATGCTCACCTGGGCTGGTTGTGCCACCAGCACAGCACACCATGCTCACCTGGGCTGGTTGTGCCACCAGCACAGCACACCATGCTCACCTGGGCTGGTTGTGCCACCAGCACAGCACACCATGCTCACCTGGGCTGGTTGTGCCACCAGCACAGCACCCCATGCTCACCTGGGCTGGTTGTGCCACCAGCACAGCACACCATGCTCACCTGGGCTGGTTGTGCCACCAGCACAGCACACCATGCTCACCTGGGCTGGTTGTGCCACCAGCACAGCACACCATGCTCACCTGGGCTGGTTGTGCCACCAGCACAGCACACCATGCTCACCTGGGCTGGTTGTGCCACCAGCACAGCACACCATGCTCACCTGGGCTGGTTGTGCCACCAGCACAGCACCCCATGCTCACCTGGGCTGGTTGTGCCACCAGCACAGCACCCCATGCTCACCTGGGCTGGTTGTGCCACCAGCACAGCACACCATGCTCACCTGGGCTGGTTGTGCCACCAGCACAGCACACCATGCTCACCTGGGCTGGTTGTGCCACCAGCACAGCACCCCATGCTCACCTGGGCTGGTTGTGCCACCAGCACAGCACCCCATGCTCACCTGGGCTGGTTGTGCCACCAGCACAGCACACCATGCTCACCTGGGCTGGTTGTGCCACCAGCACAGCACACCATGCTCACCTGGGCTGGTTGTGCCACCAGCACAGCACACCATGCTCACCTGGGCTGGTTGTGCCACCAGCACAGCACACCATGCTCACCTGGGCTGGTTGTGCCACCAGCACAGCACACCATGCTCACCTGGGCTGGTTGTGCCACCAGCACAGCACACCATGCTCACCTGGGCTGGTTGTGCCACCAGCACAGCACACCATGCTCACCTGGGCTGGTTGTGCCACCAGCACAGCACACCATGCTCACCTGGGCTGGTTGTGCCACCAGCACAGCACACCATGCTCACCTGGGCTGGTTGTGCCACCAGCACAGCACCCCATGCTCACCTGGGCTGGTTGTGCCACCAGCACAGCACACCATGCTCACCTGGGCTGGTTGTGCCACCAGCACAGCACCCCATGCTCACCTGGGCTGGTTGTGCCACCAGCACAGCACCCCATGCTCACCTGGGCTGGTTGTGCCACCAGCACAGCACCCCATGCTCACCTGGGCTGGTTGTGCCACCAGCACAGCACCCCATGCTCACCTGGGCTGGTTGTGCCACCAGCACAGCACCCCATGCTCACCTGGGCTGGTTGTGCCACCAGCACAGCACACCATGCTCACCTGGGCTGGTTGTGCCACCAGCACAGCACACCATGCTCACCTGGGCTGGTTGTGCCACCAGCACAGCACCCCATGCTCACCTGGGCTGGTTGTGCCACCAGCACAGCACCCCATGCTCACCTGGGCTGGTTGTGCCACCAGCACAGCACCCCATGCTCACCTGGGCTGGTTGTGCCACCAGCACAGCACCCCATGCTCACCTGGGCTGGTTGTGCCACCAGCACAGCACACCATGCTCACCTGGGCTGGTTGTGCCACCAGCACAGCACACCATGCTCACCTGGGCTGGTTGTGCCACCAGCACAGCACACCATGCTCACCTGGGCTGGTTGTGCCACCAGCACAGCACCCCATGCTCACCTGGGCTGGTTGTGCCACCAGCACAGCACCCCATGCTCACCTGGGCTGGTTGTGCCACCAGCACAGCACCCCATGCTCACCTGGGCTGGTTGTGCCACCAGCACAGCACCCCATGCTCACCTGGGCTGGTTGTGCCACCAGCACAGCACACCATGCTCACCTGGGCTGGTTGTGCCACCAGCACAGCACACCATGCTCACCTGGGCTGGTTGTGCCACCAGCACAGCACACCATGCTCACCTGGGCTGGTTGTGCCACCAGCACAGCACCCCATGCTCACCTGGGCTGGTTGTGCCACCAGCACAGCACCCCAGTGCCCACCTGGTTGTGCTCACTGCAATCCTACTGCTCACAGCGCTCTCTGCTCTCACCTGGTGGATGGAATGGAATGGATGAGCAGCACCATATCCCTCCTCCACCCACCTGGATGTACGACTGGAAGTTGAAGTAGGGCACATCGTTCACTGTGAAGCTCTGCCTGCTCGTTCATGGGGGGGAAGAGAGGAGAAGGGAGGAGAAAGGAGGGGAGAGGAGGGGAGGGTAAGGGAGCGTAGGGATCATGCATGGATGGATCATGGATGCATGCCCTGCACTGCACGAACGAACGAAGAGGTGAGTGAATGTGCACTCATGGGCACACCTGTGACTTGGCCCAAAACTCCTCTCTTGGCGCATCCATTATCCCCATCCTTATCCCCATCCTTATCCCCATCCTTATCCCCATCCTTATCCCCATCCTTATCCCCATCCTTATCCCCATCCTTATCCCCATCCTTATCCCCATCCTTATCCCCATCCTTATCCCCATCCTTATCCCCATCCTTATCCCCATCCTTATCCCCATCCTTATCCCCATCCTTATCCCCATCCTTATCCCCATCCTTATCCCCATCCTTATCCCCATCCTTATCCCCATCCTTATCCCCATCCTTATCCCCATCCCCCCCAATCTGATTCCCAGGTGTCTTGTCTTCGCCCTCCTGCCCGCCCAACAGCTGCTCACACCTCTCATGCCCCGGTTCCCCCACATGCTCAACCCCCCACTCCCACGTGCCACATCCCAGCGAAGACAAGACACCGCTCCCACATGCCACATCCCCCTCCATGCCTCACCCCAGCGACGCCAGCCCTCCAAAGTTGGCCTTCTTGAGCGGCTGGAACTCCTGCTGCCGCAGCTTGAAGAACTGGAGAGCGGAGGGGCGGAAGAGGAACGGGGGAGACAGAAGGGTGGGGAGGAGAAGGGTCAGGTGGAATCAAAGGGTAGCTACTCAACAGCCGAAGTTGGCTTGAGCGGCTGGAACTCCTGCTGGCGCAGCTTGAATAACTGGAGAGGAGGGAGTGGGAGGCAGATGGGGGACAGAAGGGTGGGTGAGCTATGATCATATCTCTCCAATACATGTCCTGGTCGGCAGGTATATGTCCCTCTGGTGAGGTCTACCTGTAGCACGGTCAGCAGTGGGCCTCAGCCTTCACGACACATGATTAAATCCAATCAGTCAGCTCTTACACACTCACTCACATCCCCAAGTCATTTTTTTTTTACATCCCCTGCTGCACTCATTGAAGTCACTCACATTTGAACCACACTTAACACCTACTCACACCTCTTTTCTTGTGGTGCACACTGGTCTTCTTCATCTAAAGCTCCTTAATCACCTCACCTCCCTTTTTGCGCTCATGAATGTTCATCACCTCCCCTGTTGCGCTGCGGTCATCACAATTTCAGAAGCACTCACTTCGAAACTGCACTGCACTTCGAAACTGCACTGCACTTCGAAACTGCACTTCTGTTTAAACAGATTATCCGGCCGGCTGGACTCAACTCAACGCCCGCACTGCACTGCACGCACCTCTTGCAGTCGGTGGACAACACCGGTTTCCATCCCCAGTTCGTTAATCACCTCCCCTGCTGCATTCATAATGAAATCGCTCAACCCTTTGAACCGCACTCAACGCCTGCGCGCACCTCTTTCTTGTAATCCGCACCAGTCTTCATCCCCAGCTCGTTAATAACCTCCTCTGCCACATTCATTAGCACCACCTGACAGCCGCAGCAGGGAAGCAGAGGGTGGAGGGAACGGGGGAGAGGGGAGGAGCTGTGTCTACGGTCTGTACTCCCATCTCCCTGCTCACCTCTCTCTGATACGCTGCGCCTGTCTGTGCCCCCAGTTCCCTCTGCACTTCCTCTGCCGCGTTCAGAAGCAGGACCTGATAGAAAGGTCCCACAGACAGGCAGTAAGTGAGCAACGCTACGGGAGAACTGTGCAGATAGTGAAGAGAATAGCAGAGAGAGTAGGGAGGGAGCAGTGAGCAGAGGGCAGAGAAGCGGGAGAGAAACGAAGAGAGGGCAGAACAGGCCAGTGCAAGGGGCGAATTTTGCAGCATTTTGAGTCATCTCAAGGAGCAGCCAGGAAACACTACCAAGGAGCACTCAGTCAGTCACTCACACTCACTCACTCCCTATCACACTCACTCACTCCCTATCACACTCACTCACTCCCTATCACACTCACTCACTCACCCCAAAGTTGTCCTTCATCTGTCGAATCTCCACACTCTTGCCGTCACCCCACTGCCGAGCCTCCACCCCCCATGCAGCACCGCCCATCCCCGGATTCCCCACCACTGACCCGCCAACCAGCCCTGACGCAGCAAGAGAGGCTCCCAGCATCACACCCCTCCTCCCTACTTGCAACTGCAGTGTCTGACATTCCTCAGACACTGCCGGTCCTACTGCTGCTGACAATGATATTAATGATGGAGATGATGGTGATGATGGTGAAGGGGAATCTCTAGTAGCAAATACAGACTCCCCATGGCTCCTGTCAGAAAAATCAGCTTCTCCGCTCTGCCTGCCAGAATCCCTGCCTTCTCTGCTCTGCCTGCAGCTGACCCATCTACTGTGCTGCACACATGTGTGTCTCCCATGTGTGTATCCCCTCCTTCTCAAGAGGAGGCATGGGGTTGCAATTGGACGAGGAGGGGTGGAGGAGGGGGAGGCAGTGACGGGGTGGAACCAGGCTGGGGAGTGTGCGAGGGCGGAAATCATGCTTGCTTGCTCGGCTTCTGCTCGCCTTCTGCTTGGCTTCAGCTTGGCTCCTGCTCTCTGTGTCACGCTGTGGAGCACTGGATATTAACAACAAACAGCCTCGTCTTGTCTCGTGCCGAACACAATCTCGTCCAATCACGTGGCGAAGCGTCTCGTCCAATCAGCGGCGATGCGGTCGTGTGAGGGGCGGTCAAACACAAAACGATGTGCGATGCACCCCACCAGCGCTTCCTCTGAGAGGGACGGAACGATTGGGAGTGGGAGAAGGGGGAGGGGGAGGCGGGGGGAGGAGGGGAGGGAGGTTAGACACAAACACAGCAAGCAATGCGTTGAGCACCCAACAGGCGCTTCCTCTGTAAATAAAAAAGTAAAGAGGGACCAGGGAGAGGCAGGCAAACCGACACAAAGCGATTGTTTTCACTCACATGCATCACGTCCCCTTTTTGAGTCGACTCAATAAAGTATGCACATGCATCACACTGATCCCCCCACCACCAGTGGTTGGCCCCCATGAATAAGGTTTATACGGAATAATGGAAGCAGGATAAGGGGACTTTTGAGTTGACTCAAAGGTCACCTCGTTACAATGTCACAAGTGAACAGACAGCTTTTCTGCAAGAGAGCAATTATCGCATGAAGGCCACCACCCGTGGTTAATCGGTCCCCATGACATGAAGGAGGTATATATGGAAACAGTAGGATATGGTTAAAACAGGAGGCATTTGAGATTCATGTGCCCTGGAGTTCCGATTTTGAAATTTCTCAAAAGCGACTCAGAGTTCTGAGGCGAGAAGAGAAGCACATGCGATGTGCTGTGTGTGTGCTGCCGAAATTGCACATCCGCATGCAAGCGCGTGCATTGTTAATGTGCAATGACAGATCATAATGAGCAACTGGTAAAACAAGATGTGCTGTCACATGACAGAACGTTACATGGCACACCATGCCATGTCACTACGATCTAGCACGTGACACTTCACCAACTTGACTTGACAACCCACACCACGCCAAGCTGCTTCAGCTGGTATGATGGCTTGCATGCAGCACATGCGGTGATGGTCATGGAAGGGCTGAGGGCTCCAATTAATCAGCATTTACAAACTCACCCACCCACACTGCACACCACCACACCACACCATTCTACACCAGCTCACCTGGCACGGGGAACTCACAGCAGATGGATGGATGATGGCTTGCATTGCAGCCTGCAGGGGCGATGGTCATTGCAAGGCGGAGGGCTCCATATAGATAGCATGACCACCCATCCACAAGCACCACAGCACATCAACCAAACCATGACATACCAGCTCAGCTCACCTGGCATGGAGAACCGGAGCAGGTGGATGACGGCTTGCAAGACGCCATCCACCGTCCAGCAGGCAAGCAGCAACGACGCCCACCACACCGAAGGATGCCAGCCACCTAACTCCCTCCCTACATAGTGCCTCACTCACGAGGAACCGGGAATCTCAGGAGATGGATGATGGCTTGCAGCACACGGGCGATGGTCATGGCAGGGCTCCACTCCAGGCATCGTCCAGCAGATGAGAGACCCTAACACATGACACCAGCTTACCTGGCACGGGGAACTTTAGGAGATGAATGACAGCTTGCAGCAGGCGCGCAATGGTCATGGCAGGGCTCCAGGCTTCCAGCAGATGCACACAGACCAACATCAACATCACAGGACAAGCCAAGCCACATCAACGGCCTGAGAGCCCAAGCCATGCTCCTCACCAGGAACAGGGAACCTCAGCAGGTGGATGATGGCTTGCAGCACGCGGGCTATGGTCATGGCAGGGCTCCAGCCATCGTCCAGCAGATGCAGCCGAATGCGCCCACTGGCGCTGCACACGTTGCAGTGGTACACGCGCGTGCGGAAACACACCTGGGTGGATGCAAGGCGGCACGGGGAAGAAGGGGATGGGTCGAGGGGGTGGCAGGGCATGGCAGGCAAGAAGGAGGGCAGAGATGCGCCCGCTGGCGCTGCACACGTTGCAGTGGTACACGCGCGTGCGGAAAGACACCTGCGTGGATGCAAGGGGCAAGGGTGGGGTGTCGGGGGGATGGGGTTGGATGGAAGCGCATGGGCACACAAGTAGGCATGGAAGAGACGAGCCCACTGGCGCTGCACACGTTGCAGTGGTACACGCGCGTGCCGAAACACACCTGCGTGGTGAGAGAGGGGAGGGGGAGGAGGGGAGGAGGCGGTGGGAATGTGGGGGGAATGGCCTGCTGCAGCTAGACACGTTGCTGCAGTGGTGCACAGCACACGTGGCACTGCAGTGGTGCACACGTGGCACTGCAGTGGTGCACACGTGGCACTGCAGTGGTGCACACGTGGCACTGCAGTGGTTCACACGTGGCACTCCAGTGGTTCACACGCGTGTTCCGCCCGCACGCACGTGGCTCGCTTGGCATGGCAGTGGGCGTTGCTTCATGCCATGGCTGGAGCACTCTTCCCCACTCCAAGTGGGCGTTAGAATTACTATTGAAATCTCTTAGAAGTGATTTCATTCAACTCGCTTCGCATGGCAGTGGGCGGTGCTTCATGCCATGCCATGCCTGAAGCACTGCCCTGCCCCTTTTTCAATTCAAGCGGGCGTGACTCAACAGCTGCTTCACTTCACTCACAATGCCGCAAGAGTCAAGGGTTTTGTGCCTACCTGTGTCGTGTGCCATTGTAACGAGGTGACTTTTGAGTCCACTCATAAGTCAATTCAAGTGGGCGTTACTCAACATCTGCTTCACTTCACTTCACTCACAATGCCACAAGAGTCAAGGGTTGGTTTTGTGCCTACCTGTGGCGGCCTGAAGGGGTAGTCCTGGGGAAAGGCAATGTCGAGTAAAAACACTCCTCCCCCCCCCCCCCCCCCCCCCCCCCTTCCCCATAAGGCAAGTCTTGCGTATGAAAGGCGAGAGATAGAGATGGGGAGAGGAGGAGGAAGGGGTGCCTACCTGTGGCGGCCTAAAAGGGTAGTCCTGGGGAAAGGCAATGTCGAGGAAAAACACTCCCCCACGATAAGGCGAGTCTGCAGTATGAAGGAGAGGGGGAACGAGATGGAGTGGGTAGGAGGGGGAAACGGATAAGAAGGGGTAGTCCTGGGGAAAGGCAATGACGAGGAAAAACACTCCCCCACGATAAGGCGAGTCTGCAGTATGAAAGGAGGGAGAGGGATAGGCAGGGGGAAAGGGAGAGAGGGAAGGGTGTGGTGAGGAGTGAAAGGGGTCCGTCCCAAGGGGCAGTTTTGAGGGTAGCAAACCCGTGGGGGAAAGCAAATCCGTGGGTGGGGGGAGAAGCAATCTGGGAGTGAAGGAAACGTGTGGGAGAAGGGAATTTGGAGAGGAAGACTCCTCCGGGAGGGCAAAGAGTAGACGAACGGGGGGTCCCAACCAACAAAGCCCATAGTTACATAAAATCAGCATAAAGGGTCAGCTTTAGAATACGTTCCCGTTACAAGAGCATTCCCTGTGGCCCTTCGTTAGAGTACATCTAGCACCTTGTGGGCCGAGCATAGTGGCAGTCACACACGCGGTGCGTTACAGTCACACACCTGTTGCGCTCTACAGTCACACACCCGTTGCGCTACAGTCACACACCCGTTGCGCGCTACAGTCACACACCCGTTGCGCGCTACAGTCACACACCCGTTGTGCGCTACAGTCACACACCCGTTGCGCGCTACAGTCACACACCCGTTGCGCGCTACAGTCACACACCCGTTGCGCGCTCCAGTCACACACCCGTTGCGCGCTACAGTCACACACCCGTTGCGCGCTACAGTCACACACACACGCGTGTACTACCTGGCGGGCCGAGCAGGGTGGCGACCCACTGGAAGAGGTTGTCGCCTTTCGGCCCCGCCCAGCAGTCCGCGGAGGGCTCCGCGCCGATGTCCGCGAGCTCCTTCTGAATGCGCTTCGCGGCGGAGCACACCGACGCCGACAGGTTCATGCGCGGTCCGCGGTACTACTCGGCTTAAGCTGCTTCGTTAGTAGACAGAGTCCTTCTGAATGCGCTTCGCCGCGGAGCACACGGACGCCGACAGGTTCATCAAACGCGTACGCGCCTGTAGCTGCTTCGCTACTGGTCAGAATCCTCTGAATGCGCTTCGCCGCCGAGCCAACGGACGCCGACAGGTTCGTGAAATGCGCGGTCCGCTGTACTCGCCTGTAGCTGCTTCGTTACTGGTCACAGTTCTTAGAAGTGTGATTCGCCTGCAGCACAACAACGGACGTCTAGGTTCGTGAAATGCGTAATCTGCAACAGAAATTATTGAGATGCTATCTGTTGACGATCGTATTCGCGAAGTAGACGAACGCGGCTACAAGACACAACCGCCGATCGCGAGCAGGCGGAGCACTAATAAGAGTTTATTGAACCAGACACGGCACCAATAAAGCAACGGTGCACATTTGCCACCCAAAACCCAGAACCCTGGCGAACTGTTACTGCGGATGGAAAGTGTCCGCACGAAATCCTGGTTTTCGCCAGCCAGCACTTTCGCGCTGGCAAGCCTGGTTAAAAAAAAAAGCTTCTGAACCCAACACTGCCAAAAGTTGCCCGTCGCTATAAGAGCCACGTTGGAGATTTCAATGGTATGTGATGAGATCAGACGTTGACGTGGATGTTCAGCGTTCACCCACCTTCGACGAGTTTGCGAAAGAAATTTGTTTGTCTAGGGCCCAGGTAGAGCTCGTTGGGAAGTTCCAATACACAAAATTGCACTTCCGTATCAAGTTCGGAGCGATTTCTGATTTAGGAAACCGAGGATAGTTTCAGACTTGGTTGCGACACCTCGGGCGTTCGAACGGGCCAATTCAAACAAGCACCGTACTGGAACGCTTTTTATGTCTCCTAAAAGTCCTGTACCATGGGAATTTCGGCGCTCGAACAGCTTGTTTCCGCCCGATGTCACGCACCCTTACTGTACTTGATCCCCCAACTGAAATAACATGCGACAAGAGGCGACCAGGGCGAGTCCAAAAATACGAACGAATGCGGCTTAGAGAGATTCCTGACGTTTCAGATCGGCTGTGTATGGTTTTGAAGTTTTACATTCGGACCCTTGGGACAGAAGGGGAATTACCATACTACCAGTGTGTTTACAATTCACGTATGGACACAGCAGTGTCAAAAACGGTTCAACGTGGCGAAGCTACAATACCGTTCAACAGAAGCACAGCATCGTACTCAACCGCTATAACTGAACACGCTGTCACTCGCTCTTACGATTCGCGGTGCATCCCAAGGCTGCGCGAATTTCCCATCACGTTGGCGCGAAATGCTCATCTTGACTGCTCGCATGCCATGTGTGGGATGGTGCTGCTGCTGCTTCAACTTGGCTCTTCTCCCATCTCTCTCATCAACCTGCTCCCTCACTTCGCTTCGTTGCTTCCTCCTCATCCTCCGAGCAAGCGGCAGTCGAGAAACACCGCAGCCAGCCTAATCTCTCACCATTTCTATCTCTCGTCCATTCCGTTGAGTTTCACCCTCATTCTTCGCTTTCGGCTCCTGAATAACACCTGCTTCTCTCCCACACCCGCTTCGCAACGCCACCGCTGAACCTTGAATAATGGTAATGCTGTTTCTCGTACTACCAAATGCGGCTGAGAATGCGGCATTCCTATGATAGAAATAAACGCTCTGCAATGTCCGAAGCAAGTAGTGAATTCCGCGGCGCCATCGCGAGGGCCGTTAGGCGTGCCGCGTGATTACGCCGCCTGATGCTCCTGCATCGATCTCCGCAGATTAAAGCTCGCGTCTCATATTTACAAGCGTTTAACACTCGGTTGGGTTTGCACGTCCATGATTGGTTCCGCCAGAAACGCACCCCAGCTCGAAACAGAATTTGTCGTTCGTCAACCAGTCACGGAACCCAACCAAGTGTTAAACGCTCCCAAGTGTAAAACGGAAAAAAAATTGAGACGCGAGCTTTAAGCGCCTAAAAACTCGCCGCAAAATGCGGCCTCTGCACTCATGGCGCGTACTAGCAGCGGCATCGTTCGCAGTGTGCGCCTTTTTCATAGATGTTTTAGCTAGAATAGAGCCGCATTACGCCTAGTACAGCTTCCTCATAATGCGATAGGCGCCCGTTTCGTCAGCGCGTCAAAGACCAGAGAAAGCTCATTGCTCGCGCGGAAATGCAGGGTAATAACTAGGAATTTCCATAAGTAAGCTGCTGGTCCCGCAGTGCCAGTGCGCGCGCATTGCGCCTTGCGCGGAGCTCGCCAGGTCCGCTGCCGCGTCGTGGCCCGGAGTGTGCCTAAACGCACAATCGCATGTGAGGCGATTCGGCATCGCGTGACGTCTTATGATCCTTTGGGGCGCCTCGCCTCACACGCCATCACGGCGTCGCACGACTTTTGAGACGTCTCAAAAAGCACGCCACCACGGCGTCGCACGCCACCACGGCGTCGCACGCCACCACGGCGTCTCATGGTGGCGGCTTCGCTGTCGCCTTGTTCTCCGCGATTCCGCTCTCTAAGCTCTCGCGGTCACGCGCTTCGTGAAAGAGCAATGCCGCGTTCCGTGGTGCTGGTTTGATCGCGAGGCACAACAACACTACGATCGAACATAAACTTCCCGCAGCATCTCCCCTTTCTCACACATCCGACCTTCTCCTCCCCCTCCTCCTCCCCCCCTCCCTCTCCCGCGCTTTCCCTTCCCACCTCCATTTTTCCACACATCCTCCCCTCTCCCCGTCGGCAGGAGGCCCTTTCGGACTTCGCCAACTACCTGACACGTGGCGTGCAGCGACGGGTGGAGATGATGGTGGCATACAAGGTGGAGGCCAAGCTGGACAGATACATCCCCGACGGATTCGTAAGCCTCTGCACCGCTCTCAACACCTCTGTCGTCCACTCCCTGTCTGCCTGCACCACTCTCACATCTCATCACACGATGAAGGGGGGAGGCGGTTGGGGGGGATGGCGGCAGTGCGCACAACTCCGTTTCCATCCATGTCCCTGGTCTCGACCGTCCCCATCCCCATGCACATCCTTCCTCCCTCCCCCCAGTGATTTCATGTCCGTTTGAGACGTCTCAGAAGTCGTCTCCAGTGATCCCATGTCCTGCCCTCAATCCCGTTTCCATCCATGTCCCTGGTCTCGACCCCATGCACATCCCCACTCCCTTCCCCCTTTTCTTGTTTCTGGTCGCTTCCTCCCTGCCACACACCCTCGCCACCCTTCCCCCCCAATCATACCCAGACGCTGCGGATTGCTCTCCGCATCGCCGAGGGGCTCGTTTCACCTCATTCGTGCACGGACTTCCTCCTGTGCTCCCAATGCCATTCCCCTTTTCCTTCCCATTCCCCTCCTCAACACCCCCACTCTATCACATTCACCTCCCAGTCATACACAGACGCCATCAAGATGCAGATTGCAATCTACATCGCTAAGGGGCTCGTCGCCCCGTACTTCCCCCCAGAAGACCCTGAGGAGGAGGCTCGGGAGGCAGCGGAGGAGGCTCGGAAAGCAGAAGAGGAGGCTCGGAAGAGGCTCGAGGAGGAGAAGCGGAGGCAGCAGGAGGAGGGGCAGGAGAGCAGCAGTTTCTGGAGCCTGTTTTCATGGGATGATGGGGAGGAGGAGGAGCAGGTGAAGGAAGAGAAGAAGGAGGCTGAGTCTTACCTCATGAGCTTCTTCCACAAGAAAGTGGTGCGTTGGTGCTGGGCTGGGCTGGGTTGGGTTGGGTTGGGCTGGGTTGGGCTGGGCTGAGAGGGCTGCGTGTGTGACTGGGCTGGTTGGGCTGCATGGATGATGGAGGAGGTGGAATCCTGCCTGCCTCATTCATTCATCATCCCGTTGTTGCCTCGTCCTCCCCTTGTGGCCTTCATCAGCGCATTGCAATCAACATCACCTTGCTGGAATCCACATCACCTTGCTGCAATCCACATCACCTTGCTGCAATCCACATCATCTCGTTGCGATCCTCTGACACCATGACAAGTCAGACGCTGCAATGCAGAGGCAGAGGAGATGGTGTTGTGATGCCGTGTTGTTCACTGGTTTGGTGACGTAGAGGCACCATCCATGATCTCACCGCAATCCTCAATATCCTGTTGCAACCTGGTGTTGTGGCCAGTCAATATGTTTTCGTTAACTTCATCATCTTGCTACAATTTTCATCATCCCGTTGCATCGTTCTCGCGTGCCAGGACGAGCAGTCAGAGGCGACAAAGGCAGAGAAGACGGTGATGTCGTGTAGTGCTCTGCTTTGGTGTTGCGCCTCATTATCTTGCTGCAATTTCCACCATCCCGTTGCATCCATCGCACGTGCCAGGAGGAGAAGTCAGAGGCGGCGCAGGCAGAGGCAGAGAGGATCGTGGCGGCGCGATACGCACAGAAGAAGGCCGAAGCAGAGGATACGGCGAAGGAGGAGGAAGAGGAGCAGGGCGTGCTTGCCACAATCGGCAACTTCTTCAGCTCCACCTAGGGAGGTGACCCTTTGGATGAGATGAGTGGCAGAGCGCAGATAAAGCAGGCAAGGAGGAAGAGGAGCAGGGCGGGCTTGCCTTGCCATCATGAGGAACCCCTTCAGCTCCAGTTAGGGAGGTGGCCTTTGAATATACCAAGCAAGGAGGAGGAGGGGGAGGAGGGTATTCTTGCCACCACTAACAACTTCTTCAGCTCCAGCTAGATCGAGAAAGCTGCTTCTCAGCAACTGCCTTAGGATAAATCGAGCGGGTGGCAGTAAGCAGAGAAAGCAGCCGAGGCGCTTGTAGGGAAGCAAGGAGGAAGAGCAACATGGCGTCCTTGTGATCAACTGCGACTGAACCAGCCATACCTACATAGGCTTCAGTTGGAAGAGAATCATCCTTTTCCAAAGCTTGACCTTTGAGTGAGTCGGCTTACAGTGTCAGTGGCGTTTGTCAAGGCAAGCAAGGGAAATGCCATGCATCATTGCAGCCATCATAACTACCGGTAGTAACATAAACTACGGTAAAAAACCAT